ACCCTAGGATAGGGTGGGTGTTGTGGCAGGGGAAGAGAACGCGGCTTTCCCGGCAGCGCGGTGCCCCTGGTCCCATCCTGCAGCTGAGCTGGACCCGCTGCAAGAGGAGAATTCAGGCTCCTCTGTCCTGTAAACTATAACTCACCATTTCCATCAGCGGTTATTCCTGGTGTATGTTGCTCTGGGCAGAGCCATTCTCTCTACCTGCTGCCTTTTGAAAATCTGACTCCTGCTCTCCTTCCTCCTCCTTTCAGCTCAGCTTTGGGGTCGAGAGTAAATATAATTTTGCCTTGAGAGAGTCCTTAGGTTAAACTCCAGCTCTGCCACCAACTTTCTCTTTGGCCTTGAACCTTGCCTCAGTTTCCACACCCAGGACAGAGAGTAATTGCAGACAGACTGTGAAAATGAATTATTATAGTTTATAAAAGGGCTGTACTATCATTAACGTTGCCCTAGCTCATAATTGCAAGGTGGAGTTTTCTAGATGGAGCATTTATGTTTCTGCTTGGATGGCAGTGTATACCTTACCCAAAGAAATGTCTTTGAGGCTACACGAATCCTTTTTTGGGGGAAGATGTGACGTATCTGTATGTAAGATTATTACTAGGACCTAATTAGCAGGACGCAGCAGCCGGGCTGTGCAGACGCCTGACTACCTCTGCATACCTGTGCTGTTGTATATGGATGTTTGAGTTTCGTTTGCCTCTGGCACTCAGGGGAGCCCCTTGCAGAGCCGAACTACCGTAACATCCAGCCTTCCGCTGTCTGGGGGCGAAATGTCAGGAGAAGACCAGATTTCACTCTCTTTGCACCATAAAAGGCTCTTTAGGGATAGAAATCCTGAGGAAAACAAGCCCAAGTGCGGGAAGCTGCCTCGGCCGGTTGCACCGCAGGAATCCCAGGCACGTGCCCGAGCTCTGGGGGTGCGTGGGCAGGCAGCTACCGGCAGCGTGGGTGGGCACCCTGCCTGTGATCTGCCCTGAGGAGACTGGCGGGAGGGCAGTGATGGTCAGGGATGATGGTCAGTCGTGGTCAGCAAACCCTGCAGCTTCTGTCCTGCCTGCCGGCTCCGTTTGGGCATTCCGGCCAGTGCCGCGGGCAGTGCCAGCTATTGCCCGCCCTGCCCAAGTGGCACTGCCCCGGCCTCCTCGGCTCCCTCCCAAATCCCCCCGAGTTGGCAATCCAGCTGCTTTCTCCATTGTGCAAGAGGCTGAGGACAGCTGGCATCGCCTCACCACCGGCTGAGGGAACAGTGAATTTTATTTTTTTTCATTCTTTTTTTCGTTATTCTAGTGTAAATCATTTGGCATGGGGTCATGCTGTCCTGAACAGCCCATCCCAGGTCAGCCAGCTGTCCCCTCACCCCAGGCAAAGCCTCTTGGTGCTGCTCAGACGTCGGGCAGAAACCCTGGGCATGTCTATTGTCAGTGCTGGGGATCAGCTGGTGGGACGGAGCTGATGGAAGTTAAAGTATGATGAATCCTCGCCCAGACTGCTGTCACTTGGGAGAAAAGTCGTCATGGAGTGCAGCCTCTGCGGCAGCCAGCAGACACGGCTTTACTGCTGCCCAGGGGTAACCGCAGATGGACGTGGGGGTTAACCCACACCGTCATGCGTTTGTTAGCCGTGCCCTGTACCGATGGTGCTCCGGGACCTGTCTTGCTGTGATCGCAAGGGATTCCCGCAGTGCCAGGTAAAGGCACCCACCGTGTCCCCCCAGCTTCCCCCTTTCCCACCCTCTGCTCCGTCTGGGTGCTCCTTTGAAAAAAATGTTGGGGTAGGTGGGAAAGGCGGTGAGGTCCTGGGATCGTAGCCGGGACATCATCTCCCTGATGCTTAAGTAGACAAGCTGGCTGGAGGACAGGAAGCCAGTCTGTCCCCCGCCACGAGAGGACA